TTTTTTTTTTTTTTTTTTTTGAGTTTGATATATGCTTTTCATATATATATGCATATATATATATATAGCATTTGGAGTCAGTTACATATAAATTTTATATATTACATTTATACAAAATCTCAATCATTTATCTCTCTACTTTTAGTAATTGAGATTTGTCACAACTATTTAAGTGAAAAAGATAATTATCTTTAATAAATATAAATAAATCTTAATCATTGAAACTTGAGAGATAAATGGTTGAAATTTTACACATAAAATTTGTATGTAATTAAGTAGGGATTCACTTACACATAAACTTTACATATTATATTTATATAAAATCTTAATAATTTATCTTTCAACTTTTTAGATAAAAAAGATAATTGTCTTTAATAAATATGATATAAAATGAATAAATCTCAATTATTAAAAGTAGAGAGACAAATAATTAAAATTTTATATAATTATGATGTATAAAATTTATTTGTAAGTTGGTCATAACTATTTATATATATACATATATGTATGTAATGATAGACTATATATTGTTTATTATTTTCTCACTTAACATCTATAATATTGTGAAACAATTGTAGGCAGTAAAAGAAATTGTTCCACGAGACTACAACAAAAAAAAAAATATAGACAATGAAACCCCTTTGGAAGTGTTTGTTAGAGAACACAAGGAGTTGCTAAAAGAAGCAGAAGAATGGGTGAAAAAAACAGCAGAATCTTCAACAGTCGTTGGTGCTCTTATTATTACAATTATGTTTGCAGTGGCTTTTACTGTTCCTGGTGGGAATGATAGCGGCACAGGTTTTCCCATACTTTTGCACAAAACTCCGACACCGTTTATGATATTTATGGTATCAGATGCAATTTCTCTTTTTGCTGCATCCAGTTCAGTGATAATGTTTTTGGGGATTCTGACTTCACATCATGCTGATGAAGATTACCGCAAATCCTCCCTCTTGATAATCGGCCTCACTTCACTCTTCATCTCTATTGCAACAATGACGATAGCATTTTGTGCTGCTCTTTTCATTATGCTACAAAGTGGATTGGGGGTAGTCATTCCTACAACTCTGCTTGCTGGTATACCCATCGCATGCTTCGGGTGGTTGCAATTTCCACTTTTGGTTGAGATTTTAGGCTTGACCTTTAGCTCAAAGATCTTTGGTAAGAAAGAAACGTCCTGGATGAGCAGAAGGACGGCAGATATGGTCGCTCTGGGGCTGAGGGGCTTGAGGCCTTGAGGACAGCGGTCAAAATTCTTGCAATGTCTAGTGATGCCAATGAATTGGTCACTTAATTAAATGAATGTTGCTTTAAATAAGTGATTTCTTTTTTTTTTTTAAATACATGCATGTTGCTTTGAATAAATGATTGTAGTTATAGATATCTAACTATGCTTTCACTGTTGGTTATAGTTGGTTGGTTACTGAATAGACTTCTGTATCTTCAGTTGTAATAAACATTTGGTGGATACATATATTTTTTCAAGATTTCAAACTTTTAAAGTGCTAAATTCTTCATGTGTTTTATTGCTAATCCATTGTACCACGTGTATTAGCCACACACCTTTTGTCGACTATCTTTGCAGGTAGTCATCTCTAAATACACACCACTAGACTACAAACTATGAATGCCCACAACCCACATGATGAAAGATCTTTTAGGCTGCAATGTAAATTAGGATATATAAAATTGTTCAACAAAGTGGCAGATCTTGCCATGCAGATAGTCTAATTATATGCGGAAAATAGTTGAACTTGAATAAAAAAGAATTCTAAACTCATTTCTGAGTATACCTTGGTCTTCTAAATAAACTTGAAAAGGGTTTTCTGTGTCAATTTAATTTTGAACATGGTTTTTGGCTTGCCTACCAATTATTTGTCTACCACAATTGTTATATTCTTGGACCTAGTGAAGGAGGGTTTTATAATGGTCACGTCGACATGCTTCTATCATATTGAAACTAGTTTTGCTACCGTTTGACCATCAATAAAAAGAATGATGGCTATCATTTTGGGATTGTGCTACTGAGATATAAATAGTAATTCACTATGGACCAACAGGGTACTCAGTGCACTGCATCAAATTACTTTGTCGACCAAGTAGCCAAATCCTAAGCCCTAGGAAGGTGTAGAAGATAAAGAATACACAAAGGTACGTAGTTGATAGAAATGCTAGCGCTTTTAAGATAAAGTCTACGTTAGATGCAACCTTGTGTTGCCGAACCTCCAAATCCTTTGAGACAACGAAGTCCAAAAAGGAGAAGTTGTGGTGAAGGAGGTGCTGAAAAGTTCCAGAGAGATGCTATGGTGCAGGAGCCGATACCAAGACACCAATTTGGTGAGATTTAGAATCCCACTATGATGAATTTGATTGCCTGGAATGTTAAAAATCAAGGATTCCCGAGAAGAAGAAGATGAAATGAAAAACTGAATCTCTCATTAAACTGAAAATAATCTAGCCTTTAAATAGGTTTTACAAGATAATATTATCTAAAAAGATAACTAACCAATCTTATCTAATCTAATTTAAATGATAACAACCTAAAACAAATAAATAACTCAAACTTCCTAAATTATAGAGATAATGGCTAAATAATAGGATCTAATTTCCAACAATCCCTCCCTTAAACTGAAAGTCTTCAGACTTTAGTTTAAAGAAATCTGGATAACACCATATCTGCAGATCTGCAATCTAAAATCTGCAGACCCTCCTTCAAACTGAATTCTGCATGCTGCAAACACCAAGTAACTCTCCTAGTTTTAAAAAAGCTATTACTTTGAGGGGTTTTGTGAATATATCAGCCACTTGATCTGTTGTTCTGCAATAAATCAACTTAATTGTTCCATCTTCTACCAAGGTGTGTAAGAAATGATTCCTCACATGTATATGCTTGCTTCTCCCATGCAAAACTGGATTTCTAGAAAGTTTGATGGCTGAACTGTTATCACAATAAATTAAAGTGGCCTCATGTTGATTCAGCTCAGGTTCTTCCATAATTCTTCTCAACCAAATAGCTTGACAAGCACAAGAAGTTGCTGCCACATACCCCGTTTCTGTTGTGGACAAAGTCACAATGGGCTACTTCTTTGAAGACCATGAAATTGCACCAGATCTCAACATAAAAACAAACCCAGAAGTGCTTTTTCTGTCATCCAGATCTCCAGCATAATCACTGTCTGTAAAGCCTGCGAGATCTGTTTGGTCACCTTTCTTGTAGAATAGTCCAAAATCTGTAGTTCCACATAAATACCTGAGAATTCTTTTAGCAGTTTGCAAGTGCAACTCCTTTGGATGCTCCATATATCTGTTAATCAGACTTACACCATGCATTATATCTGGTCTTGTTGCTGTCAAATACATCAAACTTCCAACAATCTACTTATACAGTTTGCTGTCCACAGATCTGCCTCCTGGATCTTTCACAAGCTTTACACCTTTGTCAACTGGTTTAGTGACAGAACTGCAGTTCTTCATTTGAAATCTGTCCAGAACTTCCTGCACATATTTTTTCTAACAAACAAAAATTCCAGAATCTGACTATACTACTTCCAGACCAAGAAAATAAGGCAACAAACCCAGATCTGTCATATCAAATTCAAGCTTCATGGACTGCTTGAACTTTTCCAACATGCCAAAATCATTCCCAGTATAAATTAAATCATCAACATATAAGCGTACTATAATCAATTTACCTCCATCTCCAAATTTGATGTAAAGTGTATGCTCATAAGGGCACTTTTGAAAACATTCCTTCAAAAAATAAGCATCAATTCGACTATACCAAGCTCTAGGTGCTTGTTTCCATATAATGCTTTCTTCAATCTATACACCTTATGTTCAGAACCAGATTTCACATAACTAGGAGGTTGATCAATAAATACCTGTTCTTGCAGATTTCCATGCAAGAAGGCAGATTTCACATCAAGCTGGTAGATCGGCCATGAGTTCTGTGCTGCCAGTGCAATCACCAATCTGATGGTATCCATCCTTGCAACTGGAGCAAAAACTTCTTGATAATCAATGCCAAACTCTTGCTTGTAACCTTTTGCCACCAAGCGAGCTTTGAATTTGTCAACCGCCCCATTCTCTTTGAGCTTTGTTTTGTAGATCCACTTAACACCAATTGTTTTGTGCCTTTCTGGAAGATCTGTCAACTCCCAAGTCTGGTTCCTTTCAATAGAACCAATTTCTTCTGCCATGGCCTTTTGCCACTTTTCTTCTTTAACAGCTTCTTCATATATCAATGGATCATAATCTACAAATAAAGCAAAATGATTAACTGGAACATCATCTTGAGGTAGATCTGTTACCTCATAATCTTCCAACCATGCTGGTGTTGACGACCACTTAAGATTTTTCAAAACAAATGAAAAATTAAGTGTGAAATATATAAGAAAAAGGGAGTCACCACTCGTCCAAATTATAAGGTGGGACAAGTCACATAAAACAAGTCTGCGTAGAAATCGGGGTTCGGGGGTTTGGTTAGGAGTGAGGAAGGGCATACGCGCACCTCACAATCCTCCGTTTAAACATGGTTGCATACTTTAACATTGGGGGGTTTTGAATCAACTTATTCATCATGCTTATGTTTGAGTCTTAATAGGTAGGTTTGAAACAATGATAAGCCAAATTGAAACATTTTTAAAATTTTGGACTAAAATGGACCAAATCAAAGACAAGCATGCATCCTAAGTACAAAATAAAATTAAAGGGACCAAATTGATTAAATTCAAAAACATAAAGGATTGATTTAAAAAGATTTAAAAACTTTGGGACTGAATTGCTTAATCATAAAACTTGTGGATGAAATTGAGATAAAATAAAAGATGACTTTGACTTTGACCAAGATTAAAGTTAATT